ACGATGGTTTTTAAATGGTCGTGATTTTTTTCATTTATTTTCGAACTGTGAATAGTTACTCAGATGTCAATTTATATTCGAAGTCGAACTAGGCATCTCATGCATATTTCATCGAATAGCGAATCATTGGACAAAAATCATTTGAAGTAAAGAATTAAATTCACTAGGAAATATAAGCCCCAACACTCTTTGCTGCAAAAGTTGGATTATCGGTTAAAAATCTAATCATATTTGTTTTCGAGTTTACGTATTTTAGCTAATTCAAAGTGGATCGTGCAGTATATATGTTGCTTTATATGTCGCTTGATGGGATTAAGTCAGTTTTCTTTGTTTACTTCACTGATTTACTTTTTCAAAACGTAAAGTAAATATGCCACTCCTAAGGAAAACTGAGGAGGAATTTCTAATTCTTCTTCTGACTTTACACTAGTAATGGGCCATAACATTAATTTAATATTAATGGAAGTCATTAATTAAGTTCCGTTAAAAAAACTGGTCTACCCCTAATTTACACTACTTTATACCACCGTGTGGCGTCAAATTATAAATCATAGTTTTGAATTAAATTCTATCGTGTTGATTGTGTCACAAGAAACGGTGTGCACTCAAAATTCTATTTATTTTCAAACTCGAATCAGACAGCCACTCACAAAACGTCACGTATGCATATAGGATGAATTAAAATCGGCGAGAAAGTTTTAGTTATTATAAACTGAGTTTTTGAATTTTGAATATTATGCTTTTGTAATTGTACTATGCCAGCTCGAAACAATCTTATATTGCAGTTTTAGACTATCGAAAAAGAACTCTCATTTTCGATGTTTATGAATCACTTGCTAGCGGGTAATGAGAAGTGACAGCCAATTAAAAGTTAATAGTCTTAATCCTTGCAATATTCGTTAGAGGAAGATTCTTTATTTGTTGTTGAGTGAACCACGAAATTCTGAAAGAAAGTTGAATACAAAAAGTGGCACAGATTTAGATAGTAGTTGACTGAAAAATAAAGATTTCAGAAATTATGACTCTTACATCAGCTACATTGAAAATAAATATGGCAGCATTAAAACATAATCTTAATCATTTCGTCGACATCTTGAATTCAAAGAATACGAAGATTATGATAATGGTAAAGGCTTTTGCATATGGTCTTGGTTCCGTACCAATTGCTCAATGGATACAGAAAACAAGTCTCGTCGACTATTTGGGTGTGGCTTATGTTAGTGAAGGCGTACAGCTACGCCATTCTACTGATATCTATTTACCTATTATGGTCATGGTTGTTATTGAGTACGAATTTGAAACGTGTCGTCAGTTTAATCTCGAACCTGTTATATATTCAATGCATATTTTTGACAAGTTTCTTGAATTTCTCCAGCAAACCGAAGGCAAGAAAACCGTTGCATTATAGTAGTCATGATTGTTGTCAAAAAAAATGCTTTCTTTAGATCAAGTAGACATAATTCCATTTCCAAATATTCATATAAAATTAGATACAGGTTTGCATCGGCTTGGAATCAGTGTCAATGATGTTCCAATTCTGATTAATAAACTCAGTGCAAATTCTCATCGCATTCATGTCAAATCGATTTATAGTCATTTTATGGGAATTTACACTTCAGGGTTGGATGATATGGCTCGACATCAAGCTGATTTATTTGTTACCAGTGCAGTTACCATTGAAAAAGCACTAGGCTATAGTGTAATGAAACATTTATGTAATTCGGGCGCAACAATCCGTTATCCCGATTTTCATTTGGATATGGTTCGTATAGGATGTGGCCTCTATGGTATTTGGCCTGTGCAACCGAAAGTTGAATTTCAAACGTGTGTCGCTTCACTCGTTGCTCCCATCATTCGTCTTGAATGGGTCTGTGAAAATGACACTGTTGGGTATGTTCAGCATCGATTAAATCGTTCGTCGCTAATCGGTGTTCTCTGTATTGGGTATGTAGATGGTCTTCGACGTCATTTAAACAATGGTGAAGGGAGAGTATGGATATACGGTTATCGAGTTCCTATACTCAGCATTTCTATGGATATGACAATGATCGATTTGACTGATGTTACTGAGCAAGTTAATATCAATGACCAAGTTGAGATTTTCGGTGAACATATACCACTTGAACAGATGGCTCGATGGTGCCAAATGGTGTCTCATGAATTGATTGCAGGATTAGGTCAAAGAGTCAAGCGAATTTTTGTGGCAGAAGAATATGCAAACTAAAATTTAATGATTTTGACTTCATGACTACATTTTTTTCTATCAATTTTACTTTTGTTTACTTAGAAAGCATGCTTCATCTAAGAAAACATTACACAGCTTAAGTACATCGCCCTTCGAATGACAGTGTTCCCGCTCGAGCATCGTAAGATACATACGATAGATACAAATATTATTTCCTTTTAAATCGATAAAAATACAAGTAGCAAATAAAAACAAAAAGTCATGTACGAAAATTAGCATTTAAATAAAAAAAACATTACTACACATTAAAATAACAATTTTGTTAGTTACAAGGAGAAAAAACTACCATCGAAGAATTGTACCATAGAGTATCTCTCTATTATTATGTAGAACCATTCATTTGATGATCATGAAAATATTGAGTCTAAAATTTAAAAAGTCACGAAATCGAAATCAATAACAACAATAATTATAACTTACATAAAGTTGTTGGATATCTTTATTTTTATTCATAGAAGTATCATCAGCATGAAATTTTTCATAAAAACGTCGATAATTTTTATCAATAGATTTTAAATATATATCACCCAATTTTAATATTTCAATGGGTTGTGATGGTACGAAAGGCACTAAAAGATATTTAAAAACTTCGGGTTATCTCATATTCACTCTGTAAAATAACAGCTATTTACCTTTATGATCATTTTTCTCTCGTTCTGTTAATAATTTATCAATTAAATCGGGTGCTAATTCTGTTCTTTCATGATCAAGTATATGTCGCGCTCGTCTTATACTTTTTTGTAGTTGTGTAAGTGTAAAACGAGATTCCTGTACTTTCCGACAAACAAGACTGTACATAGATGACGCTAAACCGGAACCATATGAAAACAAAAGAATACGTTGACCATATAATTGCTCTGCATCGGGTTTACTAAAATATGTTTAGTTTTTTCGTTTTGACGACAATATCAACTATGGATAAATGAAATCAAACCTGCTCAGAAATGAAAATAAGCTATAGTAAACAGATGGTGTATACATATTTCCCATATTTTGTGAAAAATAAAGTCCAGGCAATGTTTTTTGTTCATATAATTCCTGACTTAATTGAATAAGTTCACGTTCAAGGTCTTTATCATCGGATCCTGCACACATACCTAGATATCTATGTCAAATAAAAACAAAAAATGAGTGTTACTTTGGTGAATAATTACATGTAAATCTTACTGATATTTCTCAATTACATTACTTGGCAAATATGAACAATTACGAACAATATCATTTAAATATAATCTTGCTAAAGATTTTTGTGTGAGTTTTACATAAGGTGTATGAAAAACAATGCCAATAAAGGTTGATAAATTTATTTCATCTGTTGATACTGTACCGGAGTGAGATTCGATATGCGTTCGTGCTTTTGTACAATATTGTGTATAACATGTATCCAGTGCGGATGTATAACATTGAACACTCAAATGGCCATCAACAACAGGATACGGTGAGCTTAAATTAGGTTTATAGAAATCATAAACATTGGTCATATGTGTTGAACGACAACCTAGATTAACAAAAAAAACCACTTTATTCTTGAACATATTCAACGAAATATTTATACCAGGTTCAAAAACAAGTGGAGCATTAGGACCAATAAGGAGAGCACAGGCACCAGCACCGCCAGTTGGACGAGCATTGCCTTTTGCATAAACAGCTATATCACCCATAACGACAATTGCCTAATAGGAAAAAGAATTCTTCGATAGAAGAAAACAGAGAGACTCAATATTTCTTTTTATTTACATATCTTCCATCCCAAAAACTTGATTCAATCCAATGAATAGCATTAAATATTGCTGCTGTTCCACCGTAACATGCATTCATATTATCAACACCTTCGACAGCTGTATTTCCATGTTCAACAAATAATTGCATAAGAACAGTCTTAATAGATTTAGCTTTATCAACTAATGTTTCTGTTCCAACATCTAAACGACCTATTTCTTGTGGATTAACACCAGTTTCATCAAGTAAACGCGATAGAACAGTTAAACATAATGAACATATATCTTCATGGTCAGAACATAATGCCATACGTTTTTGTCCTAAACCGATTGTATATTTGCCTTTTGAAACATTATCATACGCTTCTAAAGATGATTGATCAACATAAATCGATGGTATATAAAGTTCACAAGCAAGAATGCCAATTGATGATGGCCGATGTAAATAACAATTTCCATTCATTGCGTTTCTTTTTTTTATTGTAATTGAAGAAAGTATGATAGATGACTGCGCTGAAATAATCGTACTTTGCTATTCTACAATCATTGATAGAACATGAAAAATACCTATTTTCGTTACAAAAATAGACAAATCCTCTATTTCAAGGAGTAATACGAACGCAAGAATGATTCACTACTTTTCTTACTAATAGGAAGCTAAAATGAATTGAATCAACTTGATGATTACATCTATTTTTTCTCTATTGACGTCATTTTTATAAGCGATTTGTTGAGTGTTCTTTCAATTCATCAGGTAAAACACGTGTATTTAAATGTAAAATATAAACAAACCGATGTAAACTATTGAGACAAAAAAAAAACATATCGTATTTACTTGTATAACTAAATAAGCGATTAATAATAATAAAGTACACAACTAGGCTCACTCGTGAGTTCACATGAAATCAGTACATAATTTGTTATAATGAAATTGTTTATAACTGAAAATAGCAATATTTCGATGTATTCATATCGAAATGTTATAACTGATTGGACAAAAAAATCAGAGCTTGAAATTCGCAGATTAAAAGAATGAGAACGTAAGTAAAGGTGAAAATTGAAAGAACAACAAAAAAATTGAGAATATATATGCTGATGTTGTATTCGCAAGTAACCACGCCATGTAAATGATATAGTGTTAATGAAGATAGTCGCACCATACATAGAACAGACGAGTTATCGAAAGAAGATCATACCATATATACGTAAGATAAAAGAAAATAAGATTTTATCGTTACATGGTAGTAATTAATGTAGCTGAGACGACTTCAAGTAAATAAATTTATTTACAATCCATTCAAATATGAAAGTAAAGCAAACATGCATACATTAAATTCTTTGTGAAAAGAATTTTAAGTATTATTTTATCGTCAATTACCCGTAAGCACGTATATCGGACAAAAAATATTCAAGTAGTTTATTTTTGCATGTACGTATAATTTAACAATTGAATTCAACCGAGCTCTAAATCATGATTTGCCTGATTCGAGTTCAAATATAAATGGACACCTAAGTCGAAGGTCAGAATACCTTTGATCAGCAAATTCCATTGGTATTCATTTCACATTATTTATGTTCTAGTAAAATGTAGTAACTCCCCTCATTATAGAAGATCTCCACTGTAATAGTATCATATTTACCCACACCTAAAACGGCATCGTTATCCAGGTAAACTGTAAAATAAGAACTGTACGGACTGGCGAATTCCTACTAAACAATAGTAAAATTAATAGATATAATTTATAACATCGAACGTGCACGCTTGTTGATAAATAGAAAAGATAAATTTCGTCTTTAACCAGCAAGCACTAAAAGAAACATTGTCAGCGTTAAGGTATCTTCGACAGTAGTCTCATTTCAATATACTCATCGTTATAAGTACCGTGAGAGAACTAGATTACATCGAAGCGACGAGAAATTTTATCTATCTTTTTTACCGCTGTTTTTCAGCAGGTGTGCCTGTGAATTTATAAATTATATTAAGGTCGTCATTTTTTAAATTTATTAGTGCGCAGACTTCTTTTGTCGTAATGAAACGATGCCATCAATCAAGTTTCGAACGATTTGTTTTCTATGCCCTTTAATCATCAAGGTTTACTTTCTTTTTTTTATCACATTGAAACCATAATAAACAGCAGCCCTTATAAAATCAAAAATTTTTTTTTTCTTTTTCACATTAATTTATTTGCTTTTATTGTTATGATTCGAAGATTTTTGATGTTCTCGAAATCTCGCCTTATTCAAAACGCCGAATATCACCATCAGAATCATTCTATCAGTTCAAGATCTTTGATTTACAGGCAAATGAAACTGATGGTTAGTTTTTCAATGCGAAGCAATTCGAAAACCGAAACAGCTTTTCATGTGCACGACAACGAAAGAAAGTCTAGTCAAATAATTTAAGAATCCACCATAAATACAGTCTATAAAGAATGTACATCACAAATATCATTTTTGTTCTTGCTCTCTTTGTTTCAAATAATAATTAACAATTCAATATTCTATAGTAAAACACATCTGAATATGTCTTTGTTTTCTTTTCTCAATACATAATCATCACTATTTTAACCCATCGTGTTTTTATACATCATAGAACAAGAGAAGAAGAAGAGAAAAAAAGAAAACAAACACAACACAATATAAGTAAAACTGATGAAGGCAAAAAAAAGCAAAAAGATGCGAATCATAAAGACGGAAGAAAAGAAAATAGTTAGCAACAAACACAAAGATCTATATACAAACAATATGACAAAACACGATAGCGAAATAAAGACAACAATAAATACATTCACACACACACACATACTACAGACAATGATGTAGAAAGGGAAGGTTAAACATTACCAAGAATCATCGATAGGCACACAATTTTTGAAAAAAAAACAAATAACAGAGCACTATGTCCATTTGAATATGAATACAGGAGCAAAAAAACACATTTTTTTCGTTTCTTTGATAATAATAATAATAATAATAATAATACGAACTTTTTTTAAAAGCCAACCTTTTTTTATAGCTAACCACAAAAGAAGAAAACAAATTATATACATTGTATATAGAAACTAAGGCAACACGAAAAAGCAAGTGAAAAAAATTTGGTGCTACTGTTATGCATGTGCGTGTGTCGAACAAAGAGAAATAATCGATTATCTGACATTGTCTGTCGGAAAGGAAAGAAAATGAAAACAGCAACAACAACAACAACAACATTTATTTATATATGTATATATATATATCATATATTGCACAACGAGAACATTTTTATTCATCAACTTGTTCATCGTCACCATGTGCTAAACTAGAAAGAAAAGAAAAGAAAATTAGCAAAATATGAATTAGCAAAAAAACGTTCATGTGTATTTATTAATTGGTGCCTTTTCCCTCGTGAGCAAAAACAAAACTATGAAGAACTAACCATTTTTTCGATTTTTCTTTATCTCTTTTACTAGTAGATTTCTAAATATATTCGATTTATTCTCTATTAAAACTAGAACAAAATAAAAATCTAAATACCTCATATCATTTTGTCCATCATCATCATCAGTTTGATCATATTGACTATGATTCATATCAGTAGATTGATCATGATGGTCGCCACCATTTTCATTAATACTAGCAGAATTATCGCCATCATCATCATCATCATCGTCATCATCATCACCATTTCCCCCATGTGAATGAGCACCACTCAATGCTAATTCATGAGTATTTAATAAACCCTATATAAGATTTCAAAAAAACAAAAACATAAAATATCAATAAAATTTTGTTTCTATTAATTTTACTTTAAAATCTTTATAATCATCTTCCATACCAAATGGATAAGAATAAAGTGCCTGATCATCACCAGTAGATAAACGAGTAGATGTATTATGTCTGAAAATATTTATAAAAATAAAACAATAATTTCAAGAAAACAACCTATTTCATACATACCCATAGGATGAAGATGATTCATTATGACTGTGGCCTTTTTCTGCGGTACGTGTTAAACGTCTTTTACAGAATTCATTTTCATCGACCGTCCATACAGCACCTTTGATATTTTCGACGCGCATAAAACATTTATGCAATGAAAGATTATGCCGAACAGCATTCTGAAAATAAATACAAAAACTATCATAATAGAAATTCATCGTTGAAACAAACCTTCCAGGTTTGTGCATTTTTTCGAAAATAAAGAAATTGTCCTTCAAACCATTTATATACTTCATTTAATGTCAATTGATTATCTGGTGATTCAATAATAGCCTATAATAGAAGAAAAAACGTTTTTTTAAATACAATTGGATGTTGTTGTTTTTTTTTCTAATTTCATTTACTTGTCGAATTAATGTTGCATACGTAAACGGTGGACGAACATCATGTGTCATATAGTATTCACGATTTTTTAATTCTAAAAAAATAATTTAAGTCTTAGTTTTGCAAAAACTTTTCTTCGCCAATAAATCAAATACCTTTTCCTTTGCCAGCTTTTTTACCACCTAATGCTAGCATTGCCTTTGTTTTTCTACTAAGACGATGTTTCTCCATATTGATAATCGGCAAAATACTACCATTTGGACCAGTCTGTACTGATATATCTCCATTCATATCATCCATATTATCGTCATCATCATCGTCATCTTGTGTATCATCACCGACTTCTTCTTCAACTGTATGAACAGGCGGCGGTGAGCTCGATGCGCTAGCACGCAATATTGCTGATGTTGTTGCACCGGATGCCGATGAAAGATCATGTGGAGTTATACGATTATATGCATCACTTGAATTTGTTGTTGTAACCGCACCTGTTGATGTGAGAAAAGCATTCTCTAATTTCACCATAGGTAAATGATGAAGTGCTGCCGATGAAGATGTATTATTAATAGAAGATGATGATGATGCTGGCGACGATAAAGATGCTAATTGGGCTGTACGCGCATTTGCTGTTAATCCATGATGATATGGTGTCGATGTTGTTAATGCACGTGTAGCTGGCTGATTAATAATATGAGCTGTTGCTGCATTTGAATTCGATGATGTTGCTCCATTTGTAGTTATTGATCCGCCATGTAAATGTTTCATCATAGCTTGAAGAATTTCACGTTCACGTGCTAACAATGATTCAAGTTGTTGTACGACATGTTGCTGTACACGTGCTTGAGCAACAGAACGATCATCAAGTGAATGTTCATCATTAACATGTCGATTGAAATCGGCTAACGATAAACATAAAGTATCACAACTTGGCCAACGACAATAATTTCGTTGATATAAAGGATTTATTAAATCTTGCTGTTGATTGGTTATAGTAGTTGATGAACGATTGATAGCCGTTGTTGTTGGCATAGTAATTCGTGCTTCACTATTATTATTATTATTATTATTATTATTTCCGATTATATTTACACCTATAAAATGGAAAAAAAGAAATTTTCTTTTTTTGTTCGCTACAGGTAAATTGTTAAAGAATAAATTAAGTACACAAACGTGCAGATAAAAGCATAGGAATAAAAATAGACGCAAACAAGCAGAAAATTAAGTAGGGAATCATTCAATTAAATGCTTTTTTTATGCGGATTTTATTTTTTGGTATGACGAACCAGTGCTCGTAGTTCGTCCGGTGGTCAACAAATCGGTTATGTTTATAGTAGTTGGTAGTTGTTGTTGTTGATGATAAGGACGTGTAGCTATTGATATCATCGATGAGTCTGTATAAACTTACATATATGAGTTTTTGTTTATACAGCGAATTAGTTTCAATGGGAATAAAATAGAAAACAGAGAGAAAGTGTCTGTCTTACCGCTAGTAGAAGAATTATTGGGTGTAGTTGTTAAATATTGAACAGTAGCCGTTGTTGGTTGATTAGTATTATTAGAATTTGTAATGCTAAATAGGCTTGGAATTTGTTGCTGTTGTTGTTGCTTTGATGAAACTTGTTGAAGAAGCAATTGTTGATTAGCAAGTTGATTCTATGAATAAAACAATAAAAACTAAACGAATTTTTCTTATTGAATCTTACTTGAATTTGTTTAATAATGTCTGAATTCGTTGTTGGTTGGGATGTAGTTGTAGGTGGGACAAGGTTGAGTTGAATTTGTTCACTTAGTTGTTGATTAATTTTTTCCACAAGAAGTCGTTGCTAAACACGAGGAAGAAAAGGAAAGCGAATTAGTACATGCGATAGATCTTTTCAAGATGTGCGCGATCGAACTTTTCTTTCAATACTATTTCTTTTTTCTATATTACAGTTGTCACAGATGCCATTAATCGTATTCAATAAAGACATACTTCAATGAATATGTGAACAAATGGGTATATGATAGAAAATTCGTATTCAAATGATAATTGGTTGTTCGAAACTATTTCGAATACGTTGAGAATATTTTAGTTAGTAATGTAATGAAGTTTATCGTATTGAAAGTTTCAAGTTCACACTTTCCCTCTCTCTCTCTCTCTCTCTCTCTTCTAAACTATCCACCTGACAATAGTTCAAATGATAAAATCAATCTTTTGCTGTTAATTATGAATGAAATAGAAGAAGAAAAAATGATCATATCGAAATGAAAATACCTAATCAATTTAATTAAAATCAGATAATATTATCGTAAGAACAACATTCAAAAATTCTATCCTTACTGAAAAATCCCGTAGCATAAACGAACACACTCATACAAGATGGTGCTGTTGTTGTTGACTTTTTTTTTTTTGGTTGGTTATGTTTCTTTTTTTTTTCTTTCTCCTTTCTCGCTTAGTTTTTTTTACTCTGTTATTAATTTTCTTTCCTCCTGTCCTCTGTGTCGTTCTTATTCCGTATACTATACGTGTATATGTGACGTGTTGTTTTTTGGCCGTCCTCACAAGCGAACACTACAATCCAGCGGCCCGCTCGATATTTGTCGTTCGTCGAAACGACCCGTCAAAGAAATAGTCATTCAGGGAGGGAGAGCGAGAGAAAAATGAGAAATCAAACTTTAATGTTCATTGCATGTGTACGAAAAAAAAACATATAGTAGGCTTCCTCGACATATGCCTACCTGATAATAATAAAAAGGGAAAGATGGTTAACGCGTATATCGTACACAAGTTGACCTGTTGCATCATATGATCAATATACCTGTTCGGGACTTGTTAATATCTGTTGAATGAGCATATTTTGTATTGCATTAGAGGATGGTTGTAAATATTGAAGCATAGTCGATGTTGTTACAGGTTGATGTTGTTGTTGTGGAGAAACCGCTGTTGATAAGTAATCACCTGAATCAATTAAACGAAGTGAACCCTAAAAAGAAGAACAATTAATAATCTATTGAAATACGTATATGAACATACATTATTTGATGATGTCGGCGAAACTATAGTTGTACCATTTTGTAAATGTCCAGTTTGCTCATTCAATATTGTTGTTGTTGATGCTTTAGTACGTGTTGCTGTTTGAAGTTTTGATGTTCGATTTGTTGTAACTCTCATTCTATTTTGAGAAGAAAAAGAAGAAAAATAAATTCATCCAATGTTAATCTAGAAAAAAAAATAAAAACAATATCGGTGACGAGTTCAACCATGCTTCGGTTTGAACGAGAGACATTTTTTTCTTCGTATTGAAGCCTATTATTATTTTTCTTTTCCTTCCTATTGTAGAGTCACATACACAACATACATACACATGCACACCCACACACAGAAACTCAATGCACGTTCAATAAAAAAAGAGACAGACAGATGGCTGTTTTCCGACTAATCTTTCTCTTTCAGATTGATGATGACTGCTTGTTTGTCCGTTCTTTAGTTTTTTTTACCTCTTCGGTTTTTTCTTTCCTTTCTCTCTTAAAAAAAAAGAAGAAACACGAGAGAAACAGAGGTCAAAGCCTGTTACTTATGTGCATGTTGCTTGGCGAAGCAAACATATATAAGAAAAATGGAAAGAAAAAAAACAACAGATGCATCAAATTTTGAAAAGAGAACAAAGAATCAGATTCGCGTACGCGCATACAAATATTGTTTATCTTGACTGGCGCTCTTTCTTGCTCGAACGTTGCCATGAAGCTGCTCTGCTGCTGATGTTGTTGCTTTGATAGCACGATGGAGTGAGAGGAAAAGAAAATAAGATGAAGAGGAGAGAAGAAACTAAACTACCACAGCGAATAGCATAGTATCGATGTTGTTGTTGTTCTGTTGTGTTCGACGTACGACCCCATAGCCCCGACTATATAGTATACAATAACAACATTTTACGCCCCGTATACACATACAATCAACAAATGCAGACGCGATAGACGATTCTCATCCCAAAAAGAAAAATAAATAAATGAAGGAAAGAGATTTATCTTTTTAATATATTGGAGATCATAAAAAAAACAATGCATACACACGCGCACTAGCTATTGTTGACTACAATCGAGACATATTTGTGTTTTTTTTCTTAGCCTTTAACTTTGTCAGAAAGAGAAGAAAATAATTTGTATGTATGTGTTGGAGCATCAACAAGCCAATGAAATGTTGTTTGAACGCCTATAAAAGAATGTAGTGAAGGATTCAGAAAAATAAGTCATAGAATGATTGAGACAACAGGGCATACCCGAATTCCAATTATTGACAAGAGCATCACTAAACTCTTGCTTTGTTGGCATTTGATCGAAAGCTTCAGCTGTATCGGGTAATGATCTACGGACTTCATTGATGATTTGTTTCGTATATTTATTTGTACCAAACACCTCATGATTAACGACAAGTAACGTAGCACCACCAACTATGGCCAATTTTGTTCCCCATCTAAAGAACAAAATTAGATTGGAAATGTTTTTATTTTTAATTAATTGAAATTTCAATCGTACTTAATAAAATATGCCATGCTGCGTTTCAGTAAGATTGTCAAGTCCGAAATTAGAAATAAACAAAAACCAATGAAATAAGAAAAAAAAGTGAGATGGATGGAATATACTTTAGCTTATGATTGGTATTTGAATTCAATATAAAGACAAAATGGAACAAAAATAAATAATTTAATAAATAATCATTAAGTCTACCGAGAATCTTGTTTTAACTTTTATGGTGTTTTTAATATTTGATTTTTATTCTGTTTAACAGATGGCACCACATAACATTCATAGTGAATATCGATTTGAATTTATGAATATATATGTCAAAGAATTCGGTTACTGCATCAAGATGAAATAAACCTAAAAATTTTTAATTTTTTTTAGCTTTCTAATAGTCCTATTTTTATATGAAATGCGTGCTATTTCAAAGATACAGCATTTTAGACCTTCTTTTTACTTTTGTGCAATTGTTTTTCGTTTCAAAAAGTTATATCTCGTTATAGGCATACTTCTATGTGTCATAAGCCTCAAACTCACCTGGTTGTTTATCTTCTAATACGAATAGCATTCGGAAGAAATAATTTCACTCTGGAAGACCAGACGATGCAATTTTGTCTCGCACATTTATCTTCACTTGTACTTTTTTCTGTGTGTTCGTGAAATTTATGCATGTGAAATTAGGCAGGTCGCGTGTCGACATCATTGTGTCACGATCCGATAGATGATAGAATGAAAGAAAAACAGTAAACAAACAGAATCATTTATTTATGTATTTTGATGCAATTTAGTAATAGATCTAGTAATACGCTAGTCTGTGAATTGATAAATTCTAACAAATAAAAGTCCCTTAGATAGTTTCTCCAACACATATCTACGCAACAGATTAGAATTTTTGAAACCTGACACGATAAAAACAAAATGTCAATTGTAAGTGTTAAGGATTCATTATTCATCTATTAACTATGGACGTTAGTCTTTTGAAAGCCTTTCTTTATCTCGCAGACATTTATATATAGTCATAATTTGAGATCGAATGCCTTCGAGCAGGACAAGACGTTATAGAGGAGGTAAGTAATTGCTAGTGTTTAAAAGAAAAACTTTATCGTTAATGATGTCTTTAGAAACAGAACAAAAACAATAAATTACTTGAAAGGAAAATAATAATATTCTAACGCAAGCGACGACCAACTAAGTATCTGTCTCTGGGGTTCCGATTTTTTTGTGGAAAAAAAGGCCTAGACCTCTCTACTGCTTTCTAACAGGAAAAATCAGACAATAGGCTGTTTTAGTAAGAACATTTCTTTTTTCTATGAGTACTGAGTATAATCTTGTTCAAAACACATGGTTTTTAATTTTCCGTATTGACAAATACAAAGCCGCGACTTATTTCATTCATTGACTGACTTTATTCAGTTAGACATTAAGAAAATTACACCAAGCCATTCCTTGAGGTTCGGTTTAAGATTATTCATTAGTAATCTTTCAATTATTTACTGTCATATCATAAAGAATAAAGTAACTGTGAATTCTCTCATATACCGCTTGGCATGATAAGATCTAGCTTACATATCATACCAATTAATTTGAGTGTATGTCTCTAATCGTAACCAGTAGTTTTCTCACGCATGTAAAAATGATATAGATCTGTTTTTTTAATATGTAAGGCGTACGAGTATTATAATTCACAGAAATAAGATAGTTTTCAAACTGTCGCCGTAGAAGAAGACTATATATATATATAATATTCATTTTGATTCATATATTTCTTCGTCTATGATCCTTTTCTTCTGTCTATTACCATTATAATGTGTAATCATAATAATGACTTGTATGAATAAGATGTAACTAGGCTTTTGTTGATAGAAAAAATACCGAAACAAGCGAATAGCAAGCATATTTTTTCTATAACTTTTAAAAACAAAACATCAGTGTCTCCTCAGGAGGTTACAATGCTCGTTGCTGAAAATTGAACTACAACATTACATGTGCTTGACGCAAAGTGGTGTCACGTCACAATTCTATAATGTAGTGTTTCAGCAAATGATGATTGCCTTTCAAAGAGAATAAATGTAATCGAATCATAAAAAGTATCCTTTTGCAGATTTTGTGATGATGATGATGATGGTCGAGAGACAATTTAATTCGGAAGATATTGAATGGTAAAATTTTATGACAACCTGTTGTCGGAAACACAAAGAACTATTGGAAAAGTTGTTGTTGTTTTTGTTGAATTAATCATCGCAATTATCATAAAGAAAATCATCAATTGACCACCGTTGAACATACAATTGTCATTTGAACAAATCATTGTTAATTGTCAATTTTGATGACACGATTCACTTGACTGAATGTGTTGTTACATTCGTTAGCTATTATCGTCGTAAATGCATGCGATGAATTGGTTGGATATTAAAATGAAAGCATCAGCAATTTGTGACACACTAACATTTTGTTTCGCTTCTCATATGAGACAAACGACATTAAAAACATTTTCTTTAACATTTGATAACCTATAATTGCTTAGACGAGCCTCACGTAGAGTAATATACGTAAACAAGTTTTGAAATAAAAATGCAGACGTGGAAATTTTGATCAAAAGTATATGTTTGTTTGAAATCTGTGGCACATTGTCTCCTATAAACTTCGCAATAATTAATATTGAAACGTGATCGATATTTGCTTCATCATTGACTTGCAAATTTAATTATCAATATTGTGGCTTATTCATTACATTTGTAGTTGCAAAAAAAGCTTAAAAGACATTGTAGAATTCACTGAAGAGATAATAATTCCAGTCACATTCTTCTTTGAACGTACAATCAATAAATAACTTTTTTTCTTTTTTTCATTGATGCAAATTTTTTTATATTTGATTAAGAAATGAAAAATAAACTTCATTTATTTATATATTGCACAAATGCGAGGAATAAAAAAAAACAGAAAGACTAAATCAAAATTCAAAGTTGTACTTTTCTTTAATTTCTTTTTGTTTATCATTTGGTTGAAATATTAAGTGGATCATCAAAAATATCGTCCAAGTCTTTAATCGTCTTATTTTTCACATTGACGGGCTTCGATTTTGAACTGGCGGAAGACTTTGTTGAAACTTCATTAAAAATATCATCTATATAAAAAGAAAAGAAAATTACATTTCAAAAAGAAAACATGCGAAATACCTGTATCATCTATTGCTGCTTTATTCATAATTGACCAATCTTTTTTAGCCTTATTTGTTTGTTGAGTTTTAGTTTTAACATCAGCAAATATATCGTCATTATCCATTCGTTTAGTACCCTTTTTAATGGGTCGTTTTGATAGAAAATCACTATCATCGTCATCTAATGCTAGAACTGATGGCTTTATAGTTGTTTTTGGTGTTGTGGATGACTACAAACAGAAATCCAAAACATATTTACAACGATCAATAGCAATCAGATTACTGTAGCAGTAGTTGTTGTTGGTAATGGTTTCGATACTGCCGACGATTTATTTTCTATATAAAAATGAATCGATAAAGAAAACAAAAATTCTAGAAACGAATGAGCGCACTCTTACTAGAACCAAATAGCAATTCATCAGTATCAGAATCATCAGAATCAAAAAGCGAAAAGGCTTTCTTTTGTTTCACGTTAGTTTTTTTATCAGATATAGCAGCATTAGCAGTGCCAGCAGCAACAGTAGTATCTAACAAACCTGTTACAGGTGCTGGCGGAGGAGGAGTTACTGAAACAGTAGGCGGAGAAATTACTGGAATAGTAGTAGGAGAAGATGATGGAGCAGCTTCATTTGAACTAGATAAACCAAAGAGATCGTCAGTTTCATTCGCCGACGAAGCTGCTGCTGCTCCACTTGAACGAGTTTTTCTTGTTGGTGGCGCTCGATTTTTGACCGATACTTTAGCTCGATCCTTGAATAAAACGAATTATTGTCTTTTTATTTTTGGTAATAGAATAATGATGGTTTTTTTATTACTTTATACATATTAAGCATAGTTTTATCGACTGTTGATTCTTCTTTTAATGTTTCAGTTGAAGTTGTTTGTGTATTCACACTTGATTCATGTTCTTCATTCGCAACTTGTTTAGTTTGAGCACCTGGCATATGCATCATTGGATTTATTTTAATACGTGACTAAAATATTGATGAATAGATCGTTTAGTAAACGAATAAATATTATTTTTACCGAAATATCTTTGACATTAACTTTTTCAGTTTCAATGTCAGTTTTCTTCTTTTGTTCTGCAACCGAAACAGGTGGTACTACTTTTTTCTTACTTGTAAAGAGATCCTCATCGTCGCTCTCCGAATCAAGTTTTGGCAAATTTTTCACAGCAGTGGGTGCAGGTGCAGGTGCAGGTGTAGGTTCAGTACTAGGCGTAGAGTTGCCATCATCGACGACTGATGACTTAGGTGCTTCTTCAGTAATTGAACGTGCTTTTGGACGTGTACCTGGTTTAAGAGCGTTCGGGTTGATATTTATAGTTTTCTAATGAAAAGAAAATTTCAAAAGGGCTATTTATTTTGAACTCTGTTTCTTTTTTTATCTTACTAAAAGTTTGCGAACGTCGACTTTTTCACCATCTTTCAATTTTGCTGGATTTAGTTGTCGTTTGCGAGATGATTCTTCTTCGTCACTATCTGAGCTGGATTTCCTTTCTAATTGAGCAGCAGCCGGAGTGGTTACTCCCTTGGTAGTCGCCGGTTGGGTTGTAGGTTCAGTAGGTTTTTTATTTACTGATAAAGGATCTTGATAAGTGTCGATTTTAGATGTTTCTACTGTTTTCGAACGTAACGGTGATGATACATTAGCTGCTGGCAATTTAATTTGACTTGATTTTGAAGGAAATAAGTCATCATCGTCATCCTCTTGTTTAGATATAGCTTTAGGTTTCGCTGCTGGTGTACTGAATAATGCATCATTATCATTAGATTTCAAAGGTGAAATGACTTGTGGAGTGTCTTTGATCAATACTTTAGGTTTAGAAGTTGATGTATTGAATAAATCATCTTCATCGTCCGTTTCACTAAGTGGAACAACCTTTTGTAATTGAGTTGTTGGTGGAAGTTTAGGGCTCGTTTTTGATTTATTGAATAGGTCAGCATCATCTTTTTTGTCGACGATTTTGGTAGGAGGAGCAGCAGCTTGTTTTACTTGGATTATTGGTACTGTTGGTTTAGAATTTGTTATACCAAATATTTCTTCATCGCTATTTTCATCAGATAGACTGACAGGTTTTTTAACTGGCGGAGAAGAAACAGGTATCGTTGATTTTTGTACTGGAGGTTTACTAATAAATAATGTATCTTCATCATCAGACAGTTTTGTTATTTTGGCAGGTGTTGTTGATGGCTTCGTAATTGTGGGTGCTTTGAAAAGATCTTCATCAGAACTAGGCGATTTAGCCTTTTCAATAGTATTCGCTATTGGTACTGTTGGAATTGGTTTTGACGGTGATTTTTTCTGTTGAAAAATGTCTTCATCATCACTTTCTGCTTGTGGAATAAATGACGTTGGTTTAGTGATTATTATTGGTTGAATATTTGACTTTTGTTCGTTCTTTTTTATTGGTATGGATGATGATGGAGTATTATCATTCCCGAATCCAAATAGATCATCGTCTTCATCAAATGGATCTTTTTCTTTTTTGGGTAGAATTATTGTGGACGGCTTTTTATCCGTTTTGGTAACTGTTGTTGTTGTTGTTGTTGTTGTTGTTGATGGTATTAATTTAGGTGGATCATTGAACAAATTGTCATCATCATCATCATCATCAACTGGAGCATTGCCACCAAATATTGATGGTCTAGAAATCTAAAGAAAGACAATTTTTATGTTATTTTTCAACATAGAGATATCTTCTATCTCTATCAACTGTGAACTGTACAGAAATGGAATCGAATATTATAGAAATACCCAGTCTGATGTGTTTTAACAGTAAAAAAAAACGATAGTATCTTTGATATTGGTTATTCTAACAGTCTCGGTATTCGCAAGTGTTTGTACTCGAAGAAACTTTACCTTTTCTGTTGTTGTCGCTGTTCTTGCTCCGGGTTGTGAAGGAAGGTTTGGACTAAAATGTATTTTAAAACAAATCTTGATTCTAGTTTCTATTTTGGAATGCTTACATCACACTGGCTGGTGTCTGTTCTGGTCGAGATTTAGTTTTAGTCGGCTTTTTCGAATCCTCTTCGTCGTCATCATCGATTGGTACGTCGGGATCACCCATCGCTTTTCGGCGACGTAAAACCGCTTTTTCCAGTTCCGACATACCCTTTTGTCCACCAGTAAGTAACGGCATACCTCCCATTTGTTGTTTTGGTTCTTCAGTTTCATCTAACTCTTCTAATGTTGATGATTCATTGTTTTTTTCAATATTAGATGGAAGTTTCTGAGGCGGAATACCAAATAAACTACTCTCTTCATTATCTGATTCTTCATAGAAAGATACGCACAGTCAATGAGATGATACAGAATGAATTATTATTTTATCAAACCTTCATTAAAATTTTGTGTGTTATGTGTAATCGGCATGTTCGATTCTTTTAATAAATTATCATTGAAAAGCTGAATAAATTCTATGAATAGTTTTTAGTGTAATTAAAAAACTAGCTTACTGGTTTCTTTGATACCAAATCATCGAATTTCGGACCAGTATTCATACCAAATGGATCATCGTCATCTTCACTATCAGTTAAGGCCGACGTTGTTGTTACTGGAGGTATTTGTCTGTTTGCTAAATCTGAAGTATTATAAGAAAAAGAATTTAGATATAAAACAATAGCATGTCAAGTTTCTATTAAAACCTGGACGACTAGCACCAGCAGGAACGATTGGTGCCTGAGATACTTGAACTTGCTGAAAAAAAAGATGTAAAAATTAAGAAAAAAACAGCATCAACAATAAATATTCTTACAAAATCATCGTCTTCTTGATCAGAACTTGATAATGCCTAAGAAAAACAAAAGCATCTTTAAACACTAGAGAATTCAAAAACAAAAAACAGGAAAGAAATTTTTACTGAATCTGTTTCAACTTTTTCAATTTGTTCAACATCATATGTTTCTTCATCATGTGTATTTAATAAATCACCTAAGCCAACGAAGTCATCTTGCATAAATTCTGTTGTGCCAATTAAATACGGTAATGGACGAAATATGTAAGGATCTTTGGGTTCTAGTATAGGTTCAACGGGTACTCCAACATCTTCGTCGTCATCAGCTAATGATGAAGCACCATTTTGAATATTATCTAATTTAGCTTCAACATGTTCAAAATGTGTGTCAAGAATAGCTAAACCATATTGAATAGCTTCAACATAACGTTGTAACACTTTTTCTTGTGCTTCACTATTACTGACAGTTTTTTCCTAAAGAAAATTAACTTCCAAAGTAAAGTACGACAAACCAGTTAAGCATATATACAGTACTAATTTAAAAAAAAAACCTATAAGGCTTCTTTATTTCTAGTATTATTTGCTTTTTGGTAAGATGAAAAGTGTTCAATTTAAATTCAAATCGTACTTTGAAGAGTCGATGAACTAGAAAAAGAACGTGATTACCTTGTTGTCGGTAAGGTAATCCTACTGTCTGATATCTTCTCTGAAAATAGTGCTAGGTATAGCTCTGGACATTAATTTAATCCGCTGCGCAGTACTTGTACATACCGATGGACACCATGAGTAGATATATGAGACATAATATAGACGGAATAGACGTTCATGATATCTTTTCAGAACTGAATCACAGTAATTTTTAAGTTCATCATTTTAAAAACCACAAAATCCGCAGTAAAATATGAAGTACGCAAATTGCGTACAGTCTACATGCTATAAGCAATAAATATTACACAGGAAACTCATGACTCAGACAAAGAATTTTTTATTTCGTATCACTTACTATGGACCAGGTGTTCAAAATGCAACAATCCCTGTTTTTATTCTATCTTCACATACTCTCCGGCTCTCTTTGTGAAATCTGGTTCTTTTTATTCTACTATCTAACAGATTTAAAGATGCCATACAATTATTTCAGAGCTCCATGTGTTATCGAAATCATCGTTTAGATTTCTATTTGTTTACACGTCTAAGATGCTGAGGATTTCTGTTTTTAATAAATATATTAGTAAGTGATATTTTTGTACTTACAGTCGATTGTTCATCTTTTTTCGATGCTTTCGCATTAATTGTTTCATCTTCATCGTACACACGCTAAACAACAACAACAACAAAAAAAGACTCGTAGTTAATTTCACATTAAATTTTTTAACTTTACATTTTCAATGAATTGGGTATTAGCTAATGACGTAAATTCATTCAGACAATTTTGAACGCGTGTATGCGTACTCTATAGCAAAACGAAATGTAGACGGTGATCTATCAATTATAGTTTATTTACTTTAACAGCATTCACTGTCTGATTTAAATGTTGTTGAATAGCATCAGCGCGTTGAACTAATTTATCCGAAAATTGTTCCAAAGAAAGTAATAACTAAACAATCAACAAAAAAGTATGCTAATAGATTTCAGGAAAAAAAATAAAGAGTAGCAATTTCTTTTCTTACACCAGCATCGCCAGCTAATGTCCATTGTGATGCCTGTTGACGCATTTCAGTTGCCGTCCATGGATGTAACCAAATACGTTCTTGAGTTGGAGGAGCAGCTGCAGTTGTAGGTGGTGGTGGTGCTGTTGTTGTTGTTGTAATGACTGATTCTGAAGGAGGAAACGGTGGCGGCGGCGGTGGTGGTATTGTTATTTGTGGCGTTGTCGTTTCAACAAAAAATGCTGGTGGTGGTGGTGGTGGTGGAGGTGGAAGTTGAACATCCATTAGAAAACACTTAAGACAATATTAAAAATACAAAATAAGATTTAAAATGGTTTTATTCTACACGAGACATCTAAAAGAGCAAAACAAATTACACACTAAATGTATCTTCATTCATTCATTCTTATCTATCATAAATATAAAGATGGTGAGTAAGTGTGAAATACATCAACGAACAAAAAAGAAATGAAAGAAAAGAAAGAAATACTATTAAGTCTATATATATATAAATTTGCAATAGTTAAGAAAAAGAAAGTCTCTATTCGTATGCATGAGAGTACATCAAAATTATTTTCACATGCTTCTATTATATTTTAATGATAAATTTAGCTTAGTTGCGAAAAACAAAACGAGATAATGACCGAATCAAAACAAATATATTTATCTACTGTAAACAACAAGAGAAGAATACAATGTGGAACGTGTTTTATGCATTAAAATATTATATTAATTGTGTTAGGATAAAAATGATTTCCTATCTAAAAACAAATTGCTTTTTCCTCAGATCCCAAAAGAATACTTTCTTATTCAATTAAATTATTTTATGCGTCATATTTATCATTATCGAATAAGTAAATTATATGAAATATGCCTAGAAAGAACAACATATCGTTGTCAAAAATATTTTAATCAATAGTTCTTTTTTTCTTTTGAATCAATATTCAAGCATATATATTTCTTTATCAATAGATAGTGAATTATGCGCAGTATTCATGTATTTTTGTTTTCGAGTTTTTGTCTGAATCTAAATCTAACAGTTTATATCTTAATACAAGTGTTCTTATACTATTTAATTATTGTAAGTAAGAAACTTCTAGATGATTCGATGTTAGTTATTTGTGACGATGTTCTGCGTCCTGTAATTATAAAGTTTTTCTTCCTACTGTTCTCTAAACTACAATCATATACACCGTTTAAAAGTTATCAACACATAGATATGTGATATATAGTGACATGGCCAAAGACGAATTTCCATTTACAGCTTTAATTGACTTGAATAGAATAATTTAGGTCTGTGAAAATATCTACAATGATAGATTTTATGTGCCTTAACATTAGTTCTTTCTTCAAAAGTATTTAGATTTAAAACATTTATTTAAGTCACAGATGTCTGTAGACACATTTATGAAAGCGATGTGTCATTTTATATATTTGCTCGTTCGCAAGAGAAACAAAACATATTTTTTTGCACTAGATAATTTAGATAAAAGAACAAAACAATTTCGAATGTGCCAAATAAATAAAATCATAAAAAGAAAAAAATTGAAAAATCTGATTGGCAATTAAACGACCACCAATAATTATCGCATTTGATAACAAATAATTATTATTTTATTTATTAACAAATATTCTTGATTTTTCAAAAGAAGTTCCATAAAATATTTTCTAGTTCAACCAACGTAAACAATACTAGTGACCTCTATATCACACACGGAATGCTTGTTTGTTTTTCACCGTCTCTTCATTTCATCTGATCTTTTCAAGAAATTCGTATCAATGCTGTCTCGAAGCAGCTGTTCGCTTGTTTCAAGCATCGAAAAAGTATGCAATGATGAATTAAATGCTTAAATATTTTAATATTTCATTTAGTTTGCTTGTGCTACACAAACAATATCGTCTGTTCGACATCTTAGTTTAACTCGAACAGTTTATGCAGCAACAAAATCAAAACAAGTACCGTAGCATTTAGCTCTTTCTTCTATACTATTTTACATTTTGTATCTAATTAAGGTGCCTATGTCACGATTGGAACCTAATAAATATGTTAATTATGAAAAACATGCAACGACTTTGGATATTGTTAAAAAACGGTAACATATTTGAATGATTTATGTTGAAAATAAAAACTATGATATGATGTTTCTGTTTAGAATTAGTCAACCATTAACACTTTCAGAGAAAATTCTCTATTCACATGCTGATGATCCGAAAAATCAAGTAAATAAAAATAAAGACAAAAGAAAAATATCATTTGAAATTATTTTTAAAACAGAAATTTGAACGAGGCACATCTTATCTTCGTTTACGCCCTGATCGTGTAGCTATGCAAGATGCAACAGCTCAAATGGCTGTACTTCAATTTATTTCATCGGGTTTACCCAATGTATTATGTCCAAGTACAATTCATTGTGATCATTTAATTGAAGCACAACTTGGAGGAGAGCAAGATTTAAAACGAGCTAAGGTATAGGAAAATCATTCGATGGACACGACCAATTTATCATTAGTGTTGTTATTGAAATCTCAAACTGTTTACTGTTGATTTTTGACTACGAAATGCTCAGTAGTGTCTCAAGGTCATGAGGACTGAAGTAGCATGACTCATCCATACCCCTGGAAACACCTAGTGATATTTTATTTACTTCGAAAATCTAATTTTTGGACTTGAATGACAACGATATGAAATATTTTTGGAAATAAATCCCGCGTTTCTTTTTTAATAATATATTAGTTTCGTATACAAATACACAATAACACGTTATGCACCACTCCAATCTACGGTGAATGACGTATTTTAAGGACATTTAGGTACAGTCAAAGTACATGGACTTCGTTCGGAATTATTGATAACTTATTCGGAATAGTCTTAACTGGTGCAAACTAGTCTCAAGTATAGGGTGGTCTGGTTTCTTGATTTTCACTTCAAATATTTTCTCAGGGTTAATACGTATAACTATCACGTTCCCATAGATAATTACAAAAAAGTCGATTATATAAAAGTACTTTACCTTTGAATTCACAGTATGGTGTATGCTTAACGACTGATGGGTTTTAATTCATATTTACGCTAGCATATAATATAATCTACCAAGAATTTCTCTATATGTTTAGGATTTGAATAAAGAAGTATATAACTTCTTGGCAACAGCAGGTGCAAAATATGATATTGGTTTCTGGAAGCCGGGTAGTGGTATTATTCATCAAGTATGAAAATAAGAAAATTTTGAAAGCAGTAAAATTAATTTTGATGTATGATTTAGATTATTCTTGAAAATTATGCTTTTCCTGGCTTATTACTTATTGGTACCGATAGTCATACACCCAATGGTGGTGGTTTAGGAGGTCTTTGTATTGGTGTCGGTGGCGCTGATGCTGTCGATGTTATGGCTAATATGCCATGGGAACTTAAATGTCCAAAAGTAACAATACAAAAGATATTATTGAGTGTCCTAAAAAAACAATAATTCTTGTTTTTCAAGGTTATCGGTGTTCGACTTACAGGCCAATTAAATGGATGGACATCACCAAAGGATGTTATTCTTAAATTAGCCGGCATTTTAACAGTCAAAGGTGGTACTGGCGCAATTATTGAGTATTTTGGTCCTGGCGTTCAGTCTATTTCATGCACTGGTAATTTTTTATTTTTTTTTATTTTGAAAAGTATATTGATTGATTGATGTATTCTTCTATTTAGGAATGGCTACCATTTGCAATATGGGTGCCGAAATCGGTGCTACTACATCAGTATTTCCATACAATGTACGTATGGCTGAATATCTTAAAGCAACAAAACGTGAAGGTAAACTTTCTTATTTCTAAGGTGTGATTAAGAGCAATGCTTTCTTTATTATCAGATATCGCTAAATTTGCAAACGAATATAAAGATGTTTTATTAACGGCAGATGAAGGTGCAAAATATGATCGTGTCATTGATATTAATTTATCTGAAGTAAATATTATTTTCCATATTTGAACGGAAAAAGTTCAGGAAAAATATCGTTTAGCTTGAACCTCATGTTAACGGTCCATTTACGCCAGATCTTGCACATCCCATTGATAAATTAGGCCAACAAGCAGAGAAAAATAAATGGCCACTTGATATTAAAGTTGGTAAGTGTCTTTTCAAAACATTTGTTTTTTCTTGGAACATAAATATATTTTTCTATATTTAAGGCCTTATTGGTAGTTGTACAAATAGTTCATATGAAGATATGACACGATCAGCTAGTATTGCTCAACAAGCAATAGACAAAGGTATTAAAGCTAAATCAATATTTACAGTTACACCAGGCTCAGAACAAATCCGAGCAACAATTGAACGCGATGGAATTGTACGAATGCTGTTTTTTTTATGAATTTCTAAACTACAATTAATTTTTTATTAATAATAGGCTGAAAAACTTCGTGCAATCGGTGGTATTGTGTTAGCTAATGCTTGTGGTCCATGTATTGGTCAATGGGATCGACAAGATATTAAAAAAGGTGAAAAAAATACAATTATTTCATCGTATAATCGTAATTTTACTGGACGCAATGATGCCAATCCTCAAACGCACTCATTTGTTACGTCACCCGATCTTGTTACAGCTATGGTTTTAAGTGGTGATCTTCGTTTTAATCCTTTAACAGATTCTTTGACAGCTGCCGACGGTAGTAAATTTAAATTGAAACCACCATCGGGCGATAATTTACCAGCACGAGGTTTCGATCCCGGTGTAGATACTTATCAAGAACCACCAAAAGATGGTTCTTCACTTAAAGTTGATGTTGATCCAAAGAGTACTCGTCTTCAATTACTTGAACCATTTCAACCGTGGGATGGAAAAGACTTTGTCGATTATCCAATACTTATTAAAATCAAAGGAAAATGTACAGCAGATCATATTAGTGCTGCTGGGCCTTGGTTGAAATATCGTGGCCATTTAGATAATATTTCAAATAACATGTTTATTGGGTATGTATATGAAGCTATTGTTTCTCCATCAGTATGAAACGAAAGACTATAGGAAACGGTTGATGTATCCTGAATCGATCTTTTTTCTTTATTCTCAAATATACATATACTGAAATAATGCATTGTTCATCGGTATAGTAGCATTTGAATTATGTGTTCTTTATAAACTGATAATATTTATTTAAATATAAAAAAAAAGAAAATTCGTATTTAATTTTTAGAGCCGTTAACGAAGAAAACAATGAAGCAAATAATATCAAAAATCGATTAACAAATCAATGGGGTAAAGTGCCAGATGTAGCTCGTTATTATAAGGTAAAACACAGAC